GACTTTGAATTCGGCGGGCATTTTTGCGGGATTAATCGCTTCTCTCTGATTTCATTATCGATAATAAATAAAGTCAGTGATTAAATGAGGCACTCTGATGTATGATCATGAAAAAAACTGGACCAATAAGAACTAACATTAGTATATTGAAGAATTATGGTTGGATCTACCTGACAATGAACAACCAAATGCGTTTTGGTGGAAAAAAATAAAATTTCTGGTTAAAAGAACCAAATTTGGTTCATGAGAAATTTGGTTTCCTTCAATCGAAACCGTGTTTGATTCACAGGTGGACTCAACTCATTTTTCAGTGAAGTTAGCTGTTGAAAGTAACTTACGATTTCGGTCTGAACAAATATTTCCTAAATATTTTCAAAAGCTGACAAAACACTTCATCCCTGATCGTTCACAGCTCGGAAGCGAATGTGCCTTGCGGCGTTCTCGATCTCACGGCTCGATTTCCGATACAACGAGACGTTTGAAATATGGAATGTAACGGCACACGTGCTAAAAGTGCAAGAAGCCAGGAAAAAGAGAGAAAGAGGGAGAGAAAAAGAACGTCCAAGATGCAAGGAAAGAAACAGCATTCAGAGACGGAGAACAGCGATCACTGAAAATTTTCAAGTGCTTTCGGCGCCTCGGGCACGCCTGCATGCCGACACGTTCCTATGAATCATGATTCCACATAGGCGTGGACGTGCTTGCATTCGCGCACCGTCGACGACAACGAACGCGTCGCATAAATCTGCATCGCGGATGAGAGAGAGAGAGAGACCGGGACGCATCTCTCTATCCGGGAGAGGACAACTCGGCGAAGTCGATAATTTCTTCGACTCGACGATACGCATGATATTTCGCGACGAATTAAGGTCAATTGCACCGACGATGACAACGATGTTCCTGGTCAATCGGCTGTAACGATTTCCTGTGCCTCTTCGAGTAGACCATCCGCGAAGAGGACGGTTTAAGATAATACCGTTGATAAACCAGCAATTGGCTTGAAGATAAAGAAGATAAAGAAGATTTGGTCGAGGCGAATGCAATTAAAACGTATGACAAAGTGCGATATGTTGCGTTGCGTACGTGCGAAAATCGGATCAACAGTTGATAACATCGTAATTCTGCAACTTATCTACTATAGACTATTTTCCGAGTATCTACGCGGATATCTGCTTGTGTCTAATTAGGAGTCTTAGTATTTGCAGTCGGCACTTGAAATTTATCTCATGTAGGGCATTCAGGTCTGAGTTCAGAATTAAGTGCGAGGTTTTCAGTTGAATCACGATGATAAATATATAACGGCATATAATTCATTTGAAGAACTCGCAAATCTGATTCGAAATTTAAATGAGTATTTCACATGAGACACATTTTCAATTAACGACTGTCAATACGAACTTAAACTTGGACGTCTCACGTGATACAATTTTCAATTAACAGCTGTCAATATAGACGTAAACTAAGATCACACGGTATTTCACGTGAGACAACGTTCCTAGCAACGACTGTGAATATGGACCTAATCTGACCATCTTACGTGAGACAAGTTTCAAACAACAACTGTCAATATGGATTTAAAATGAAATCTGCACATCTTACGCGTACGACATTTCAATTAACGGCTGTCATTAACAAACCTAAATTAAAATCTAAACATCTTACGCGAGGCAAGTTTCAAACAATGACTGTCGATACAGACTTAAACTGAGATCTAAACATTTCACGTAGGACAAGTTTCAATTAACGACAATCAATACGAATTTAAATTAAGATCTAAACGTGAGACGAAGTTTCAACGAACGACTGTCAATACGAGCTTCACTCGAGTATCGCAAACCGACGGGATTTTCCGACGACGATACTGCAAGCTCGGCGTTATCGAACTTTCTTTCGCGCGCATTGGAAGAAAGCAAACAGACAGAGTTCTTTCATTCGGGTGTCAGCGGGGGATTTTCACTTAAATGCCACAACACGCGCGTCGCGTGTGAGACTAATAAGCGACACTACCGTTAACTGGCTGACATCCAAGGTTCGGGAAAGCATGGGAAAAGAAGACGGGCGATCGCACGGCCGCCGACACTCGAGCGGATTCCTCTTCTCGTTCCGGAAACCGATCACGTAAGTCGCGATTCTGTTGGAAAATCGCTGCAGCCAGAAAAGGCGAGGAGCGCGTTATGCGCCTCACGTAGTCGCGACGACGACGAAGAGAAGCGCGAGACTCGTGTGTCGCGCCACAACCCGTTGTGCTGCGGAATTCCAGAGCGCCTCCTTTTGTGTCTCTTATCTGTTCCCGGAGATGCACCCGGAAATGCGCCAACACCACGGCGCACTTCGAGGGGGACGGGTAACTCACCCCGCTTCGCACCGGCGAGGTAATAGCATTGACCTTCTGCGATTTAGAACGATTCTCACGAAATTCAAGTGAAACTAATCGATGAATAATAATAAGAATTGCTAACTCTAATCTCCAGTTCTGTAATTTGCTGTTCAAATAATAATCGAAAAATTAAGAAATTCGCGTCAGAAAAATAGAGAAAGTAACGCTCGACTGACAGTAGTTTTAAATCGTCGATTAGATTGATCAAGTTCCGATGAAAGTCAGTCAATTTCGCGTCGAGTCAGTGTAGATAATAATTATAGAAATATAGTTTTACAAAAAAGATTTTTAATATATTTCATTGTGAAAAAAAAATATATCGGAGCGATGAGAATGCGAAATGATAGAAATGATTGCTCGATTCACTTTTGTTTCAGACTGTCTCCTTGAGAAAGCGAGCTGAAATGTTCATGGAATGTTGAAAACAAATGTACGAAGGACACGGTACTAACCAGGAATACAAATCGAGCATTTCTCCGGGTTGCGAAAACCATAAATATTTCATCGATTATAGATACTAAAATTTCCTGCGTTTCGACAGCCTCGTCGTTGTTGCGTGTATTCACGGCGACGGCCGGTCGATAGCGCGAAACTCGCGACGTCGCGCCGCACCGAGAGATAATCAAGTGCAGCGAGTGAGACAACGCAAACAGCGTTGTGTCTCGCTAATATTTGATCGAAGATAATGCGCGAATCAGAACTCACGTGCAATTGTCACATTCTACAGATAAGGGCGGAGAGATTCAGTTAAATCGATGATCGCGACCAGAAATTGGAATATTCGCTCGGCGACTCAATTGAGAAATGTCATCACGCTCGAACTCTGTTAGCTGCGTTAACGATATCGCAACATCTTCATTAGTTATCTTGAGTATTGTATAGAGCTATGTATTTTCTGCATTATCTTCTTATCATCGTTCGTCTAACGTCGTTAGAAAATTGACTTAGTTAATCTAACGATAAGAAGATAAAGGCAAATGTATATGTGTGTATATAGTTTTTCTTTTCGCTTTCCTAATGAAATTAATAAACAAATAACGTCTACAAATAAATAAAGATCGTATTCTAAAAAATAGGTTATGCATATATTTTTTTAAAGAATTTCTTTTATTAGTTTGAAATTTTTTTCCTAGCGAAAATGTGCGAATTAATGAACAAAAAAGTGAAAAAAGTTTGGAACGATTATTTATTATTTTAACAAATAATCGCCAATGGTTATTTCTTAGTATTAATATCGAAGTTTAACGTTTCGACGTTCCACGTTCATTTTTTATCACTTATTTTAACTAATGGATGCTTTACAAGTTAACAGCATTTGAAAACTGCCGCAAGATATGGTTGAAAGTTAAAAGGTAAACATGTAACGATAATATTATCTTCAACTAAAAGTTATAGGACACTGTCTATAGATATTCCTAAATGAGTTTTTTACTCGTGTTTTACTTATTTATATTTTAGAAAATGAAAATAAGATTGTTCTCCCTCTCTCCCTTTTTCTCTCTCTCTCTCTTTCTCGTCTAGAAACCGATTTCAGAATTAGAAAACTCGAAAGAATGTAAAATATACAGAGCTACATTTAGCGAAGCAGACTTGGCAAATATTTATGTAATCGCCCATGATCGATAATTATCTGTCAGATATATCGAACAGTCTATCTTCGACAAGTGATTTCTGATCAGCGTACGATATAATGCAGCTGTGGAAATATACAAAAGATACCCCAACTTATTTCGGCATCTGAGCAAACTCCGCCAACAAAATGGAGAAACACGCTGACTCCCCTTATATTATCCCAAATGAAACATGAATCGTACTTTTTTTCAAGTGCGTTTTTCAAATTCTTTCGTTTTAATGGTAGTTTAAACCTGACGAGAAAAATGATATCGAATAAAAAAAGAATAGAGAGCGGAATGTTGATTCAATCATTTCTCTCTTAACAAGAAATCAAACGATCTTGATTTAAGACCATTCAATACTATGAAAGATTAAACAATTAGAGAGTGGAAAAATAACTGATAAGGGAAACATACATTCCGTCGAACAACGGTGTTGCAATACGTATATTTACACTAAGTTTCAACAAAACTTAAACTTGTGCAAACATTAATATGTGCAAATTAAATATAGTTTACCAGACCAAAACTCACTAATCTTTCTAATCGACTAGATATGAATATACAAAGTGGCTATTGATTATTCGATCACTTTGATTAATCTGCCATTTCAATAACTTGACACATCATATCATATCCAGACGATTGGAAAGATTACAAAGACCAGTGAACTTTGTTCCAGCAAATGCGAAATTTATCTTAAAGCTTAGCGTATTTTTTTCTCCGAAAATTTCATCAAGGAAGTTTCTACACAATTTCTCTCGAAGTCACAATTTGCAAGACTATTCTGGAAAATCCAATCACGAGAAATCGTAACAATCGAAATCTGGCAAATATTACACAATACATTAACCGGTTGCACCAAAATCTTCATCTTCCAAGTCGCCCTAATAATTACGCATTCGCTCATGGAAAATTACGCGAGTCTCGGTGTTTAACCTCGGACTCTAAACGATCGTTTAGATATCCCAGCAACGAACGAGATACGCGTGCGGGGGACAATGACTTACGTGTTTCCACTCTCACCCTCGGACGAAATCACGTCGTCGATCTTCCCGAGTTTATCACCCCGCCACCCGGTATATCATGGAGAACAATCCGCTCGTTCTTCAGTCCGCTGATCACTCTTGCGGGCACACACAGCCGCTCTCGAAACGCCCGCGTATCACCTCGACCAGGTGAATTTCCGCCAATTATCGCGTCGCGCTCCAATGAGAGCACGCGGAATCACGTCGCTGTCCGAGGAAATCCGTTTCTTCGCAACGATTACGGTGTCACGGCCACGTGACATGGTAGCAATGTTGCGGACCAACGTCCGTTGCTTCCACTTCGCCTCATGAAACGCAACAGCATCGCATCGCGCGGTTTCCAATCACCCACGTGACGTAAATTCAACAGAAGATGAACTAATTGCGGCCGTTACGAGCGGACTATCGCGACGAAATACCTCCGAGTGTTTCGAGCCGCTGACGACGAATCGAAGACGACGTGGATATAATCCATATATATATATATATGTATCGAAAGCACTCTACGAGGGAGGTCAAGAATACTATTATCGGATCACGCGTGACGTGCGATACAGGTACTCGTACCGACGGCCTCGCCCGGCTGCGCGGTAAGAGAGATAATGAATTGCAGCTGCTATCTCTTATCTCCGTTTGTCGTGATCGCGAGTATCGAGCTCTAATGACGGTGATTCCCGACGATGCTGCCACGTGCGCGATAGTACACTGCGCGAAAAAAGAAACGTAGAAAGAATGCACGAGGTCACGAGCGGAGAAGTCTCCGCAGGTAGATAGAGCGCACACAGTCTTCGCCGCTCGAGCAACAGGTAGATACTGCGGCGAGAGATGGGAACGGAGCGAGCGTGCCACTCTCGGATGGACGGATCGAAATGCCGAGAGCAGAGCTATATGCGTTGAACAGGCGTTCACACCGCCGGTACAAGCGCGTGTCGCGATAAAGATTTTCGCACGTACGTTGTTATAACAATAAACATAAGACGTAAGCTTGAGCTGAAGAACTAGTCAGGATATTGCTTACATTTATTTGCTCTGGAAAAAGATATATAGATAAATAAATAATAATAAATAAAAAAAAATATATATATATAGCTAACTAGAAATAAAATTTATAGTTAGATAAAGATAATCTCTCTCTCTCTCTCTCTCTCTCTATCTAATCGTAGGCAGGAAGTAATAAAGATTCGACTGATTGAAATCCTACACGGAAAAAAAATTAATATCAATTTAAGACTCATATTCTCATATATATATATAAGTAAGAATATATAATTTCATATGAAAATAAAACTTATTTATTTGAAGAAATTCTACATGCGGACTAAAAATATATTCTTGTTATTCTAAAAATTCAGTAAAAATATATTCTTGTTATTCAAGAATAATTTTCATGAATTGAGAGAAGAAAATACTGAATAGAAAAAACGATATTTTGAAACTCATACAATGTTTTAGTTCCTGCGAAAATTTGGAAAATTTCCGTAGTTAGTGACGATACTTCAAATCGTCAAGTATAAATTATCGGAACATTCTCAACGATAATTATCTACTTAACACGGAATGTCAAAGATAATTTATTGTGACAAGCGCACAGAAAATATTTTGTTGTAGTGTATTTATTGTTCTGAACGCGTAATGTATCATTGAATCATTGTGTTCCAACTGAATATTATTTGTTTGCTCTGAAGAAATAACGTAAAAACATGTTCTCTGTACTCGGAATATCGAATGTTACATCACGTTGCACACGAGTATGCATTAGAATTTCTACGAATCTGTACGATTTGGTACCGTCGCTGCTGCCAGCGACAGTGTATTAATCTCGTTATCTATACGGCTGCATGATAATGTATAAAGCGGAAAAGACGTATTGAGAAATCTCGCGTAATTGGCAGATTACAGTCGACGAACGGAATAAGAATTGTGTAACGTGGCATAGTTACAGCCATATGTCACGATCGCGCTTAATAACTCACGCGCAAAACGTAAGATCGATAATGTTGCAAATCGAGATCTCGACCTTCGTATAATTCTCTAAGTTATCTACAAAATAGATCTGCTACTTGCATATTAATGCCGAAATTTTAGCGATAACTTAATTGCACTTAATTGCAGGATTTCAATTACATGCTGTTAAGATATGACGTGATCAGATGCTCTCGATATGTAACGGGTACACATAAATTACAATCACCAATGTCATTTAATTACAATCTAATCACATATATAATGAGCTACAAGAATGAAACATAAAAAAACGTATCAGGCAAGTTGATAAGTTTGGTGCAATTTTATAATTAAATTTAACTTTATGACATTCCATAGAAATAAATTCGCCATCGTTGTCTATAGTTTACTCGTGGCCGGTCAGCAACGTTTGAGCAGGAAGACACGAGTTAACCGGTCAACAATGTGTTAATATTCTGGCAAAATTAATGCACCACCTTCATATACTAAGAAAAGAAAATGGTTAATCTCACTAAATTATCTTACTGATTAAAATTATTTCATTATAAAATTATAGTCACAAATACAAAACAACTTTTCTCAGTATACAAAGTAGCTTGTCTGCCATCGCGAAGGTAAAAAATGGAAGTAAAAATGGAACTGAAGTTTCTTACTGACCTAATATTTAATATGTGTTCACTTTCATATATAGGAGTCTTCGTGCTTCAACCTTTATCTTTTAAAAATTTATCTTTCTTACTGTGTACATATGTTTTCTGTCATTTTGTGACGCTTCCTCGTAATCACGAGCCCGCTAACCGCTAGTAAGAAAGGAGCGAGGTACAAACCGGACTTCGCAATTTTCGGTGTGAAAGCCGCTGCACAGCGTACGCGCGAGAGGTGGGGGTTCAATCGTCGCAATGAATTACAACGAGCCAGTCACTGAGAGTGACTCACCGAGTACTCTAGCCGCCGCTGGCCGCCGTTGCGGCACGTCACGCCGATAATAAAAGGCTCCCTCGGCTCTCCTTGCTCTGGAAAGAGGAATTTGTACCGCTCGAGAGGGAAGTGAATAACACGAGCCGAGCATTAGGCGGATGCCCGGGTGGGTCTCGCAACGGTGGCCCGCCGCGATCGCCGTTCGAAAGACCGGTTCGACCGCGAATCATGAATCATCGGAATGCCATATCGGCGCGTCTCTAAGTGCCCTAACACCCGGATTCGGAGGAAAATCTCCGGGACTTAATGGTATTCTGGGTATAACGCGATAGAGAAGTCCGCTGCTCGCGGATTACAGCCGGGAGATTCAACCACGGCGATGATGACGAGGCGGCACGTACGCCGAGAGCAGGGAATTGGAGAGTAAAGAAATCATACACCGGGAACCAATTTTGTATAGTTTTGAAGGTTCGGAACAATCAGGTGTTTTTTCTTCAATTTTTCGTCGATTTTTTCAGTTCTTTTCCCAAGAATAGAAAAGTTCGTTTAGAAAAATTCATGTGTTCGGTTAAAATCTGCCACATTCATTTATTTCTGTAAGAAAGATAATTGCGTGCACTTAATTGAAGTTAAATGAATGTGTTATATAAGTTAAACAATAACATATTACCTAAAAAATTATAACCAAATACATTGTGAACAGATATGTAATCTACATTAGATATTATTTTCATAATATGATATAATATTAATTTAATATATATACATAATAAATATATAATATAATATTATTCAAATAACCTGTTAGTTTCATTTAATTACAGTTAAATGCACGCAATTAAAGAGAGAACGTGGCATATAAAAAAGGAAAGAAGGATCACCAAACCCCCCCCCCCCCCCCCCCAAAAA